AGGGGGGTTGGACTAGATGACCCCCAGAGGTCCCTTCCAACCCCTACCATTCTGTGGTTCTGTGATTCTGTAATGAGGTTCAAAACTTACAGGTAATAGAAAATGAAAAATTACTGGAGATGGGGAAAGGCTGAGAAGCTTCTGGGAAATCCAAGAAGATGAATGGCAACATTATAATAAAGTATTCTTATTTCACCTATTAGCATCAAATTACAGCTCAATTATTTACTTGTTTTCTTAGGAACTGTTATTTAGATTGCAAGGCTGTACCAATTCAGGGAAAAGATCATTGCATCACTGTAGACAAGTCTTTGAAACCCTCAGTCAGTGAGTCGGTTCCAGAATACATAACAAAATGAACTTGAGATTAATATAGAAACATTTTGTATAAAACAGTAATGTGCCTTGACTTGGCATATTATATTTAATCCCTCTCACCTTAGTAAGGAGACAAACTGTAGAGGTGGGAGACAGCAAATATTTCATACAAAGACTTTCAAAGCCTAGTAGGGAGAGAGGTGAGGGGAAGTGCAAAACAATATGTAAAAAACTTAGTTTTACAGACTGAGGCAGCTGTTCAGACTATCCTGCAATATAAGAATAGATGTCATATGACAAATGGCAGTTTATTTTGTTAAGACTTTGATCACTGCGTAATTTGTGTATGTAATTCGTTGCCACGAGACATCATCTGTAAAATGGTGATTAGAAAGATTCAAAAAAGCACTAGAGAATCATACAGATGATAAGAATGGTCAGAAATTGTGGATAAATAACAGTTCTTAGGTATCAGAACTAAAAAAAAAAGAAAAAATTACTTCATATGCATGTGTGTCTCTTGGCTGGTTGGTGATGACATCAGAGAAGATACAGGAGCCAAACAAAAGCTCAGTTTATGGTTGAGAAACACTTTTTTTCTCTTCATGGCAATTTATTTTATTTAAATTTGTCAGAAGATTAGCATCCTCTGAGAATTCAACACATGTATAAATATTTCAAATTGGCCAGTGGCTTCTGAATTCACTGAGAATGGGATTAGCAGGTACATCTCTTCACCAGGGGAGTTCATCTGCCCAGAGGAAGCTAAGCTTAAGAAGAGAGGGCGAGTCAGCAAGTATTCCGTTTTTCAGCTGAGCAATTGGGCATTTGTCTAATTCTAGCCGTTCTAGCCAGGGTTTTGTAATATCTAACTTTGTTTTTTCTTGTTCTCCTTTTCCCTGAGAAAAGGAGGATACTAGGTTCTCTAGGATTTCTTCAAAAATTCCCCATATCCCCCTTCTTCATATCTTTCAGAATTAGTTTAAGTGAACATCTTACTGATTCTGGCCTCAAGTTGCATCAGAGGAGGTTTAGGTTGGATATTAGGAAGAATTTCTTTACTGAAAGAGTGGTCAGGCGTTGGAACAGGCTGCCCAGGGAAGCGGTGGAGCACCATCCCTGGAGGTGTTCAAAAACTGTAGATATAGCACTTCTGGACATGGTTTAGCAGACACGGTGGTGATGGGTTGACAGTTGTGCTTGATGATCTTAGAGGTCTTTTCCAATCTTAATGATTCTATGGTTCTTACATGAAGTACATTTTCTGTAAGCACAAATTCTATCCAACAGGCAACAGCTTCAGCAAAAGGGACTTAAAGCTGTTTTGACTGAATCTTGGGTGGATTATCTTTTTTTTTTTTTTTTTTTTTTTTTTTCATTTTTGGTCTGGTTATGCAGTCTGGGGAGTATGTTTGTAGCCGTTTTTCCTGATAGCTTCTGATAACCTCCCTTTGCCTCCCTGCTTCAGTCCTAAGGCTACATTAGCTTGCCCCACTCACCCTTCAGCTAGTCCTTAGTATAGAATTTGGGGGATTGCGATGAACCTCTGTTTATATTATAGTAATCCAGAATTTAGTAGAAATTATACCACAGCGTCATTATGTTGTTTCAGATTAACAAGCATGCCTTCTCGGGAGGCAGAGATACCATTGAAGAGCACAGGAAGTACGGAGGCAACTGTGATGTTGACGTGTCTTTTATGTACCTGACTTTCTTCCTAGAAGATGATGACAGGCTTGAACAACTGAAGCAGGTAAGCAACCAAGTTGAAGATAATATTATTCATTCTTTGTGCTGAGGTCAAAGCTGTAACTAAGTCCTCCTGTGAACCTTCTCCAGGAAGGCAATTGTGGTGTTATTCTTGCACTCTCCATCCTGTACAAGTTTCAATATTAAGACCTCTATTTGTTGCAGTGTTCTCCTTTCTTGCACATCATTCTGTGTCTTCTTTTTTTAGGAAAAAAAAAAAAACACTAGTATGTTCGTAAGGTTCTCCAACACTGTGTAGGACAATATCTTCCTTACTTTTCAAAGGATCTCCAACATTGTGTAGGACAGTATCTTCCCTGCTTTTCAGATGAGGCCACTTTAGGATTAGTGTTGTTTTTAATCGTACAGTAGACTCTGCCTGTTCCTTATGTGCAAGGTACCTAAACACTCTGCAAAACTGCAAAAGCTCATGTCAAAAGCTTGCTGGTTTTTTTGTTTTTTCTTACCACAAGAGATGTAATAGCTGTGGGGAACTGATTCACTGATCCCAAGCAACAACTGCTTCCTGTAAATTGCATTTTCCTTAAATCTGTCTGACAGACTTCTGTCCCCGGGGGTAGTAGCAAGACATGTCCCTTCCTTCAGCTGTATGAGCATTATCAGTGCCAGGCAGTACGCGTTCTCTGGAGGGTAGTATCTGCTATCGGTAGTGCCCGGGTCACGTTGGTTTGTCAGCATTCTCCTGCTGGGCACAGCTGCGAGTCAAGAGCTGCAGATTCTTCTCTGCTTCCCACGCCAGAGTGGGGTTGGATAGCCTCTAATCCCCATGCAGACTGTTGTAAATGCCTTATGGAAATCTGGAGCACATTTGACGTATTGAGTTGTTTTCCATTGGTCTCCAACCACTGCAACAGTACCAGCCTAACTCTGCTACAGAGCACAGAGCCACAGCGAGCAGCTTGCTGCAATGCTGCCTCGGGACTGGGTTAGAAAACGTGAAGTCACTGCTTATAGCAGCATTAGTGGAGCTGTTTAAGTTGTGGTACCAGAGGAAGCAGCTTTCAGAAGTGGATACTGAGAAAGCAGTATTGGTGTTTTTATAACAAACTAACAAACAAACAAAACTCACCCCCCAAAAACCACCACTGAAATGACAAATTATTTGATCCACGTTAACATATTTTACTGTTGCTGATGCTCATGCAGCCGCAGTTACACCTTGAATTGGTATTACAAATGGCTTGATGACAAGGGGAGGTGAGATTATCAGGTTTATTGCCGTTTCAAAGCAGAGTTGAACTGCCCCAGCCATGGTTTCTAACCAGGGCTGAACCAGTCAGCTGTTGGCCTGTGTTTCTAGCTGGAGCGTCTTCGGTATCAGAGCAATTGAATGAGTTACCAGCTGTGAATAGGGCTGCTGCTGTGAACATAGATTCTGAGTGTCTTTGCTATGAAAAGGATACTTGAATCACATCTAATCTCTTACCAAAATGCAATGAGAGAAAAATATGAGAATTTCTACCTCTTATTGCAAAAAAACAGCTTAGGGTAACTATTTATTTGAGCTGGGATTCTCAGGAAAAAAACATGCAGTTTCCTGCAAATAATTACAGGATTTCCCAGTGAAATTCTATGAATGTAGCTTATTCAGTCCGTATAACTTGTCACATATGAAATTGCCCAGCTGCCTTAATCTTTTAAAAGGCAACAAGAAATTTTGCAAGTTACTTTTTCAGTGTGATATCACATGATCTTCTAAGGCGCGTGCTTATTTTTAAGACATCCAAATCTGTGTTTTCTAGGGCCAGGCTTTTAAAGAAATACTTGTCACTGAGTCTTTTTCCATATAGCACCAGATTTATCAATCAACACTTTCTTGACAGGCATACACAAGTGGGGAATTGCTCACGGGGGAGCTGAAGAAGGTGCTTATTGAAACATTGCAGCCCTTGATAGCAGCTCATCAGGAGAGACGGAAACAGGTCACAGATGAAATGGTGAAGCAATTCATGACTCCACGGAAGCTAGCTTTTGAATTTTGAAGTATGTAACTTATGACTTGATAAACCAAAGTCAAGTAATTGTTGTCTTCTGTTGTATGTCATCACTCCCTAGTTATGTACAGCCTGCAATCAGTGCTTTATAAATATTGCTTTTAATGAGTTAATTGCAATGAATGTCAGAGTACAGGAAAAATTTAAAATAGGACTCATATCTATTTAAAATCAGAATATACAAGACAGAATTGTCCAATGTTGCAGAAAAGCATGTCTGTCAGCACAATGCTGTATTTTATTATATTTCATGTTGAAAATATAAATAAAACTTCCATTTTGATGCTAAAGCCTAACTTGTAAGTTGTTTTAGATATTCAAACTAATAACTAGTAGCTCCATTCCCTATTGTCCTGTGTACCTTGGTTTACTGGACTGCATGTCCTTTTGGGCTGCTGGGAACATGCTGCACACAAAAAGATAGTGAATGTTACAAAGCAGATTACACAGTGACTTAGGCCTGGGATCAATACAGAAAGAGTAGAGATCTGCAGGCCACAGAAATCTCTCTGTACTTTTTGTTTCTGCAGCTGTTGAACTGGTCTGACTGCCTCTGGAGGGAGGAGGTTATCTCGAAGTTAGAAAGTTCCTTCATAGTCTCAGGTGGGAGGATAGTATAGAAATGCAAATTTTGACTTCTCATTGTAAAAAATACCAAGTATTAAATCTTGAAGTGTTCAACTGTGAAAATGAAGTTGCTACTGGATGTAGGCATACTTCTAGTACTGTCTGTTGTTTTACTGCACCAGGTCATTTAAACTAGGGGTACTTATTTTAAGATGTATTCCAGTGAGAAAATATACTTTGTTAAAATACCTTCTGTAATATTTAATTATTTCCTTTCTTAAAAAGAACTTCAATGTCTTTGCTATGATTTATGGAAGAAAAAATTAATTTATCTAATTTGTTTTAATATGTACAGTGCTGAATGCAAACTGTTAGATTGATCTTGTATTTATATAGAATAGAAAGTTGCTAGCCCAGACATAGTCTTATCTACATCAAATACCTTTGATATCACAAGTGCGTAGTGATGCGTGGTATTGGCAAATCATTGAAAAATGTGAGGAAGGCACTGGAGTGAGGTTTGAAAGCTTTGAACTTGAACAGGTTCTGTACTGCGGGGCCTAGTGGACATACAGCAACTGTACCGGTCTTTAGAAAAAAGGGAAGAAAATTAAAAGCCGAAAAAGCACACTTCTAATGCGACTGTAAACCGTTGAAGTCAGCTGATTACACTTGGGTTGAGGGAGAAGTTTCAAGGGTGAGACTTCTCCCTGGTGTGAGCAGACTGTGCCTGAGCCAGCGGGTGCCTGGGATGGCGCTGGGCTGTCTGTGCTGCCGGCTCTGTGGCCCAGCGCTCTCCTTCCCTCCAGCCCTGGCCTTGCGTTGCCCAGGTGCAAACACCCATGTGCCGAGCTGCGTGTGAGGTGCCCCCGTTAGCTGGTGTTCGCGCAGGGAGCCAAGGAGAGACTGAGATGCGAGGCGGGTTTAGTCCTACTGCACACGTTTCAAACTGGTGCTGAAAATAGCAGCGCTTAGCTTTTGTCTCTTTTCATTACAGTTTACGTGAGCTGGCATCGCTAATCTAATGCCATTGACCTTAATCTGTTAAAGTAAACATTTACCAGCAACTGTCTCTGTAACCTGCAGACACAGTGTGTCAGTGGTAACGAGTGTTTAACAATCAGTAGAAAAGCTTTTTCTTTTTTTTCTAGTGGCAGAGCAATTCTGAGAAATTCTTAGCTTCTTAAATCCGGTAGTAGATAAACTAATTCTTGTTTACTCTAGACTTTAATGGTGACCCTCCTGCTCTTGCAGTCCACTCTTTGTCATCATTAGGCTATATATAAAAGATAAGACTTGAATTGACTTTTAAAGTGCTGTACAACTTATAAGGCAAATTTCTTCTTTAAAATATTATATGCGGATCTGTCCTGCAAAATTTATTTCGTTTTTTCACAGAAGGGAAATGTGCTGTAGGATAAACAGTAGTGTGTTCTATTCTCAGCATATGGATTAGTTTTATAACACAGCAATTAAAATCTGTTTTGAAAGTTCTGGAAAGGAAAGTGATAGCAAAATTGTTTAGTATTTGTTTACTGAGCAAGCACGTTACTGAAGTACTCTGTCAGGTTCTTACAAACGTGCTTCTGAAATGACACAGTTTCGCAGAAGAGTCCTGGCAAATTCTTAAATCTGTTGTAATTACAATTCATGTCCCAGAGGTATTTAAAACTCAAGACAAGGCAGTCTTCCAAAGCATGTGTGAAACATCCAAGAATGTTATCGGGCAATGTTCATTACATTGTCCTCAATTTGTATGTTGTTCATCTCGCTATAATAAAAATATAGATAAAACTCTGTATCAAACTTCTTTGATTTTACCTTTTTTTTTTTATTTTAATTTTTAAAGGGCTTAATTTACACCTACTCTATTTTTGACTTCTCTTCCTACCCTTTTAGGTGTTGATTTAGTCATCTGATGGAGCTGGTCCTTGTTTTGATGTCCAGTGCCTTTCAGGTAGTGAAGTAGGGTGCCTTATAACCGGCTCTACCCAGTCCTGCCAGGTGGACTTCCGATTGCTCCCAGAGCAAGCGAACAAGGGTCAGTTTTCCAAAAATGAACTGGTCACTAGCAGGACTGGATGTTGCATTTCCCTGCGTACAGCAGCCAGCTCAGAAACAGGGGAAGGTCAATGTGGCCCATTTTCGGTGACGCTTCGGTAGGTTTGGCGTAGAGGCTGGTACCGAAGTGGAAACGTGATGCTCCACAATTGCTGTTGCCTGAAAAGCGCGGATTCTGAACAGCTTCACACAGCTCTTCCACAGTCGCCAAGAAGCATGCTGAAACAGCGTGCTGAAGCCTACCTGGAGATTCATAAAGCATCTGTTCAACAAGCTGCAGTCCCCGCAGCAAAGTAAATCCAACATCAGCATGGCAAATGTGGTGTCTTCATTCTGTTAGCTGGCCTTCCACTAGCTGATTTATCAGAATAAATAGTTCTGTGATTATCAGAGTAGCTGAAGGAATTGGAAAATAAAGCAGTCAAGTTCTGAAATCCAGAAGCCAAACGCCCAGCCTCGTGTATGTTGTGAAGTACTTAATACGTACACTGTCATGTCATTAAACAAAAAATTGGTTCATATTTATGTGCCTGCATGTACGGTACTTACACAGTTAGTTCCTGTACCTGCTGTTAGTTTGTATCAGTGTGAGTGAGCTATGACTTCTTGCTCTGAGGCATGTTATCACTCATACACTGTGTGTGTAATTTTTTGCAGTGAAGGCTTGTGAACAGGATGGGTTGCAAAGCAGTTACCTTCCTAAAACAAGCTGCCTGAAGACACAGCTTCCCTCTCCTGTAGCACTTGTTCAGGTCACATGGAAACCTGCTTTTCTCTGGTGCTGAATACCCTGAGGCTTACAGTTCTCAGCCCCTCGCACTGGCTTCTGCAGTTGTTCCCACTGATTTTTACAATCTGTAACTCCTGTTTCTTGAAACCAGCTGTATTTCAGTTACACCCCCAGGAGGAGTCATCTGAGTGCATGGGTCTGTTAGGAAAGCTGAGCTACTTTCTTTTCAAACCTTGGGCTGACCAGGAGTGGTATCAACACCGCCTAACCATAAGTGGTTGTTTAGTCTGATTTGCAGGCATCTTTTAACTGTCTCTGCTCGGAGGATGTAATGCCTGGGAACAAGGTCAGCTGAGAATAATACAGCATAAAGGAGTCTGATTCCAGAAGACATCCAGGAAGAGCTGGGATAAATGACTATGCAGTCAAATGCATCCGTTGTAGAAGGAGCTGAGGGTAGTAGACTCTTAAGAGCCTTCCTAAGAGGAATTCTGAATCTTGAACACCTAATTAAATCTTCTGTTATAAGGACTTTCTGACTAAAGGAGGTTTGGTGCTGATGCCCCAAGGTGTAACTGGGGGTAGTGAGTTGCTGAGGCCGTAAGCGTAGCTGACAAGTTCTGTCTGCTGCAAAATTGCTGTCAGTGTAGTCAGACATGCTATCAACTGGTAAAAGTGGCTGTGGATCAGAAGGGCATCAACCCTGAAGAACTCCTTTAAAAACATAGTCTTCCTATTTCCCCCAAAAAATGCACTTTCAGCAGAATCTGACAGAGGCTGGATCCATCCCGCTCCAGGTGTCATCATCCAGGGATTAAAAGGCAGGCAGAAAACATTTATGCTGCTCATGAGGCAGGATATAAAAATAAAGAATTTAAAGAAATAAAGAGAAAATAAAGTATATCTGTTTCTAGGGGGTTTCCTTCTGAAGCGATAGTGTGGGCCTTGGTTTTTTTTCAACTGACGCGTTGATGAAACTTTATAACTTTGTGAAAAAGAAGGAATTTTCAGGAAAGTCAGATGTTCTATCAAAATGTATCTTTGACAAAAAGACACATTTGGCTACTCCTAACACTGCAGTTCCTACTGAGCAGAGCATGCGCATTTTAAAAGTAGCAAATCTTAACTACACAACTTTGCAATTCCCCTTTAACCTGCCTAACTCCCCAGCGCACAGGTTTTATGGCAGCCTGCCCTGTGAGAAGCAGAGAGGTTTTGCATCCTTCCAGGATGAGAACAGATTGTCTCCGAAGCCGTGCCGAGCTCCGGAGAGCCACTGTGCCGCAGCCCCCGGGGGGGACTGGCTGATGCTGGGGGGCCCAGGGCTGCACAGGGAGAAAATCACATGGCTTATGGGAACCCCTGCCTGGTTTCACTTTCGATGAAGCCATCGGCGTGGTTATATCAACAGACCGTGTCTGGCAAGCATTAAACAATGACAAGAAAAAGTAAGAAAGTGCATTATTTCCGCTGATACCAAATGGATGTAACCGCAGGGTACTTGGTCAAAATTATGCCTGGGAATGAAAAGTTGCGGCCTGAAGCACAAGCACGTAGGTTACTCAGTGAATGCAATACAGGCATTGCTTGTAAACAGCACACACTGGGCAGCGGTAAACCTTACATGGAGTCCGCGCACTTCTTGCCTTGGTCGTAGAGATCATTTTCTGTGCCAGTAGAAATCAGAATCTCTGATCAAACTAGCAGCTGTTTAGAACACAAATATTTGCAAATGTTTCAAGGGCTGAAGCAGTGGCTACAGTCTAAATACATTTACAAGATAAAAGGGAGGTAGGGTGCAAGTCCGAGATTCCCTGATGGGTTTGTAATCCTATAAGAATAAAACAAAGCCATCAGTCATCCAGCTTCGTGCTGAAATGTCCGTGCTTCTTACACTGTCCATCAAAGGAGATGGTGTTCAGCAATTGTTTGTGGGTGTTATATTACAAAAAAATAAACTAAACACTTCTGAGCAGAGTGGCACGAGCTATTTTGCCTTTGTATAATGATCTGTAAATCTGAGCACAGCTTCATACGTTACAAAGACCACCATGTTCGCAGGAAAGGCACGAATGCAGTTTAAACCCAGTCCTTTGAAAAGCACTTTGGCACCCTCCTTCCTCACGCTTTCCCTAGCGCAGTGGATGAGGCCTTTGTACTTCTGCTGGTCCGATTCGTCTGTCTGCATCCGTGATTTGATGACATCCATGGGAGTAGCTAATCCCCAGGCCACGACTCCAGCGAAGCCACCAGAAATCAGTACAACGAGGAAACCTGCACGAGAGAGTGAAGGCAGGAGCCTTGCATTCATACGGCTACAAACATGCCAGATGCACCAGCTAACTTTGCCAACTTTCATGCTTTTCAGCAGTGATTTTGTCCAGCTCTTGCCGTTGTGGGTTGCCAGTGAGCTCACACAAACCGCGTGGCCTCTCGATTTCACAGCATACTCTTTTTCGCATACGCTGTACTGGCTGATGCTGAGGCAGCATCTATTTTAACGCTGCAGAAACCAGTTGTGACTCAGCCTGCGAGCGCTCACGCTCCCTTCAGCTGGATCTAGCTATTTTTGTAACAAAATAATTACGCACCAAAGCGTGCTGTAACAGGGTTTCTGGCACCCGTGCCGGGAAGGCACGAGTGGCCCGGGACGCCAGGAATATACAGCAACCCTGCACGAGGACCAGATCTGGGTGATATTTTATAGGTGGTTTGCTGAGAGCCCGACTTCCTTCTTAGGGTGGTACAAAAGAAGCCAGTTTTGCCAGTAAGGCCAGATGCTTTCCAATACCTACCTGGTTTATTTTTCCCAGTTGGTGTGAGCCAGTCACACAGAGCAGAATAGGTAAGGAAATATATTGCAGAAGAGGAGCAATCCCTGCAGAGTAATGCAGAGCAGCCCTTGTAGAGACCCCCCAAACCTTCCTCCTTGGCGATCACCTTCAGACAGTGCAGAGACCCTCGGTACTTTGGCTTGGAAACAGGCTGGGGAGATGTGACGGAAGGGTGCGGGTTCTTCTGGGTCTGCATGCGTACTTTAGCCACTTCACTGGGGGTCATCAACATAACCTGTAACATCAGAGGGTGGTAGTTTAACCCTTCACGTTTAAACAGTGTTTTGATCCACCTCCTGCAAATTCCTTCTCTCCCACCTCTGCAGGCAATGTTGCCTGAAGCCAGCAAGATCCAGCCACCTCCCCTGTGCTAAATCCCACCCAGCAGCAGCAGCAGGACACACGTGTGAGCTGCACAGCGCGGAGTGGAAGGTGAGGCAGAAACCAACAGGGGATATTAAATACCTGTAACAACTTATTAAACCAGATGGGCATGGAAAGGGGTTGTCCTCAGCTATAGGGCAGCATAAATCAGCAGGGTTATTATGCATCTGTGTTTGGAACCAGGGCCATAAAGACTTGAAAAAAAATAGCCTGTGTTAAGTAGAGGTGTTGCCTGCTAGGAAACACCTAGAAACCGGACCATCTGGCCTGCTCTGTAAGAAGATTGCCTGCAACTGGGCATGCATTGCTGCCCAGCATGCCACTGGGGCACCGGGGAGGGCTCTGCCACATTCGCAGCGCCCGCAGGCGCTCACAGAAATCTGTCTGCTTAAGGAAACTGCTCCCGAATTCAGCCTCACCTCCCTGGCCTGGGATCACGCGCATTCGTCAGGCAGCATCACTTCTCGGTGACGCCCCGTCGAGTTTGGAGTCCTGACAAGGCAATGCTGTGTACTGCCCGTTTCTGCAGCAATACTGTGCCGGGCTTGCGCAGCCACTGTTAAACACCGGCCTGTGCTTTGGCACACCGGGTTGCATCGTTCTCACACAAACATACTGGCAGAGCCACTCGCAATGTTTGCTGCCCAGGTTGTTTTTTATTTCTCTTCCTGCGTTTGCTGCCAAGGTCCATGTCATTCTTAACACCGTGTTCCTAAGCATTTTGGAGCTCTAAACCCAGCCCAGCATGGGCTGCCCGGCAGGACTCGGCCCCCCTGCGGAGCTGACCGGCGAGGGGGGCACGGCGCAACCCCGTGCGAAATCAAACCCGTCGAGTTCATTGCAAGTGCCCCTGTGGCCTCCCGGGCAGAAAGCATTCACTGCTTTTCCAGCTGCCTGTGTTTGTGAACAGGGTCTCGCGTGCTTTCCCAGTCGGCTGTTTGCCTACCCGGACGGCACCGGCAGCACCTCCGGCGAGAGAAACGTCCAGCTTGGATGGCTTCACGTCTGCAGCCCCGTATCGCAGCTTGCAGATGGTGCAAAGGAAGTTTCTGTACGCACCAAATGAGACAGATGAAATCGCCGATACGGTGAGGACTGATGCAGACACACCTTTGTAAAATCCCCAAACCTCGTTGGAAACAGAGAAGAAAGAAAACGTTGAAGAGGGAATGGCATGTGAAAGCACCTACCTGAAAATTCTGTGCCTACATGGCCGAGCCAAAACTTCTTCCCATCTTACAGCTCATTGGCAAAGTGAAATTTCATCCTGACCCTTCTCCCAAGAAATGGTTGTATGTAACTGCTGCCCGTCCTCCCCGAGCTGACAGAAGCAGCTCTGCTTCTCTGAAGCAAGTCATCCGTAACCGGTATCAGCAATGTGGATGAGAGGTACCTACTTTTTCTGTCCTGTACGTTTCCTGAATGCAGTGCCAAATCCCGTTGTAATGCCTCTCGGTCTGAATTCTCACCTAGGAATGCAGGGGCAACTATGAAATGCAGGTATCAGATTAAAAAAAAAAAAAAAAACAAAAACAAAAAAAAACAAATTCCATAGCAGCAAACCAGGTAATTAGCCATAAAATAGCATCACCAAACAATTTACTTTTTTTTTAGGAGAAAAACAACTCAAACAAATGAAGTGAAATATGTTGATTTAAATAAAGATGAAAGCATTGTCATAGGAATAGTTTTCTAAAAAGGAGGGTGAGGGGAAAGCAAAAGGGGCTGCTTGTTTTCAGTCTGTAGTCAAGGAACAAAGCTCTAGCCCTTACCTTCACTGTGTCCAGCGGATAACCCACTGCTGTGCTTAGGCCACCTGAAACAGAGAGCGTGTTGGAGGTGGTTCCAGCTGTTCACCGCACACAGCGCGACAGACACCGTTTTCCCCCATCGCGGGAGGCATTAGGGGAACTGCAATAAAACGCAGCTTCAGAGCCCTGCTGTGCTTGGCCCCAGACCCCTCTCGAGCTTCAGCGACAACGTTTGAGCCAAGAATGACAGAGCAAAACGCACGGATCTCTCTGTGTGACCAAGGCGTGCTCAGAGGAGGAATCCGAGCATCGCGGGAAGTTATCGGGAGGAATAACACCACGGTGCAAGCCGGGACTGGGGGAAACACTGAGACCACTGCTGCAAGAAGGCCGAAGGGATGACTTGTATGATGCTGGACTGGTTTTGCTCCCCTTCTCAACTTAGGCAGTAAAGCATCTCTGGACTACAATCAAGCACCCTCATGTGAGATGCAAAGTGTCTCCACTCACGCAAGAGCGTATCTGGAGCAATTTTGGTTCTTCATGCTTGACTTGGAAATATTAAGGAATAAAAACAGTGGTCACAAGGACGTATATGAAAGAGGGGTGGTCCTCAGACATTACTGGTTTTCTGCTACAGCCCTGGGTGAGGAATTCATTAGGCAGCAGGGTCCATGGCACCATGCACCGAGCACTGCTGCAAAAGCAGAGCAAGGAGCAAAAGCAAAGGTTGCTTGGAGCTCTGGCAGGCTGGCGGAACGCTGGGGCCCAGCAGGATTAAGGCGCAGCGAGGGATTAGGGATGGGCATGTAAAAAGCCGGCGTGCTCAGCAGCAAGCCCCGCACGCCAGCTGACCGTGGCTCCCTGCCTGCAGCAGTGCCGGCATGACCGGCGTTTGTCAGTCCTCCACCGACACCCAGGCTCGCTTCAAGACCTTAAAATAGCCACTGGAGATGGAAATGCATTAATCCTACGAGACAAAGTTACTGCCTCGGTGGCAGAGAAGGAGAGCAAAAGAGCTCTGACACAGACTTGTCCTGGTCGCAGTAACAGATAGATCACCCACCGTCCCTGCCTTTACCTCCACTGCACTTCTCAGCTCTGAGCTAAATTCATCTGTTGGCAGATACAACAAATGATAAAGGGCCTGACTAGCTAACTTACTCCCAGCACATCAACTGCCAAGTCACCTGAGAGGAAATCACACTGGGGGCACAACGGAGCTGTGTCCATGCGAGTTATTTAGTCAGAGATCAAGTTCATAAATGTGCTGCATGAGCCAGGCAGTCGTAGATACAGTGAATGTCTGGTGGCTCATAGGTAGGAAACTGCCTCTCGCCGAGTCCTTCTTTTAAAAAAAAGAAAAAGATACTTAAAAATGAGTTAGCTGCTGTGAGCATTTCACTAGGCATGTTCACCTGTGATTACACAGCTGCTCGGGAGCTCTGGAAAGCTCTACTACGTTTGGGAATGAAGCAGCAGCTGCTGGTGTGAGTCACCGGGAGACAACCCCGAAGTGCCTTACTCGGAAGAAAACAGCCAACAGTATCTTTGCTTGAGGAAAAATGAGGTTTGTTCTCCAAAAGTCTCTCACAAATCTGCCACCAGATAAATAGCAATGAAGATGAAAAAAGGGCCAAGAACCCACCTTCCGTACTGCAAAATCAAAATGAGATGAGGTTGGAAGAGAGACGGCGAGGGGGAAGTCAGAGCAATACAGCTTGAAGGAGCAATGCCTCTGGTCCAAGCAGAGAGGCAATGCACGAAGTCACCCGGGGCCACCCGTGCTGTCCCAGATTCCCAGCCATGGGCCAGAGACAGACTGCAAACACAGACCCCGCCAGCCAGGAAGAGCAGCACAGAAGTCAATGTCAATGTGACTGTACTGACCTCAGAGGTGAGGTCCCCAGGCCCAAGAACCTGTCCCAGACGGGAGGATTTGGCATCTCATCTGTCTCCGACTTCCTGAGCCTTAGAGGCAGCAGGTGTGGGCTGACCAGATGCTGGCAATACAGGCGCAGAGTGTGCCTCACGCCTGAGCCCCGGCTTGCTCCACCAGCCCAGGAAGGTAAAAGCCTTGGTTCACGCACATCAGGTACCAAGGCTGATTTGGGTCAGTGTTGGACAAGAAGTGTCCTCCCTTCTGGAGAGATTGCCCTGTTCGCACATTAGGACACAGAGACAGCAGCAGCATAGACAAAATAAAGCAGATTTGCCCCACACCAGCCTGTTATCCATTGCTTCTCAGGTCTAGGGACTCAACTTGGTGCCAGCAAGGATCAAACATCTCCACTTGCGAGGAGACCATGAGGGTAAATTCTTCACTGTTCCCAGCAAAGTGGAGATGTGAGCATCCCAAACCTCCGAACAGCCACAGCCTGCCGTGAACTGCTCTCCTGCAGAGTCAAAGCACTCTGAGCAGTTAAGTTTTCAGAGCTGAGGAGCTCAGCCAAGTCCATCAAAGGCTGAGGAGGAAAAGCTCTGCACAGTGTCATGCAATATAAATAGCCAGAGACAAAGATAGCATGACCTACACATGCCCTGTTTGCACAGCAGAATCCCACAAGGCCGGTAATGTATAGCACGCTTACGGGAGAGGGATCCGGTGGGATGCCTGCTGCGTAACACCGCACCAGCTGTGATGAAAATAAATGGCAAAACCAGATGAATGATCTTTGTTGGGTTGTAGTGAGCCATTTTTTATGCCTGCTTTACCCGAGATGTTCTCGGGTATTGTGCAGAGGTTTCAGGATCCGCTCCCCCC